AAAAAAAAGATAAGCCCAGCTCAACAAATTTAGGGGTGTCTTCAAAACAGTTTATTTGTCAGGGTCGAGATTTTGCAGGCCAGTGGGAGACAAGGTCGTGTTTTCTGCTCATGGAAGCCTGAATCACGATTTACAAGAATCGAACCAAAACACAGGTGTTATTTGATAAAGTCCTCAAAGTAATTTTTATTTGTACATGTCTTCAGATGATTGTGGAACTTTGAAAAAGGCCATCTCTAACTTGAAAATTTAGGGGCGGTGGCGGGGACCCGGGGTCCCTGAGGAAAACCAACAGGACCGCGCTGGTGCTTGGCTGCCTGCCGAGCTAGCGTCGGGGCCCTGGCTGTCCTGCAATCCTTAAGAACCTGAACGGGGCTGTCTCCCATGGCCCTCGGAGAACGGCCAAGGGAAGGAAACCTGGTGACTGAGATGGGTTCCCCAGACGTGCAGCCGTGGCAAAGAAAACCAAAGAATGTCCCTCTGAGAACTCAGCAGGGCTTGCTGGGCACAGGGCTCTCTGAGGCGAAACCCCCAGGCCCCTCTCAGACCCACGACCGGCCATGCTGGTGGCAGGCCGTCTTTCAGCGCACTTCCCCTCCCTTGAACAGGAAGCTGGTGAGATGGCAGAAAACAAAACAAAACAAAACAAACCACCCACCCCCTCCTACAACCAAAAGAGGGCTTGCAAGAGGAACAACGCTGCTGCGGGGTTCCCCGGTGAACTGAGATTTCTGGGGCGGTGAGGGGCGGACCGCTGGTTATCGGGAGCCGTGTGCGGTGAGTAAAGTGCATGAGAGGAAGCCTGCTCAGCTAAGTGAAGTAGACAGAGGGCAGGAGGCAGTCATTCGCCAGAGCGGCAGCAGGCTCGGAAACCACACTGCAAGTTCTGGCATCCGCTGGCCGTGTCTGCGTGAGGACCTGCGCGGAAACAGAGACAGGTGAAGGAGGAATTTCTCAGCCGCCGTGAAAAACTGACGGACTCCTGCTAGGCAGACACACTGGACTTCTTTCTTTCTTTTAAACCAGCAGTAGATACATGTGTCATAGAAGTAAAAGCTCACATGTAGGGAATGTTCAGACTCAGAGAGCTT